GTGAGCACGTAATTTTCACCCTATATGAATTACTCCCAAAAACCCAAAACAAAATAATTTCTTTTCACTATTTGCAATTTTGTGAATTTTCGTGGCATTTTCTGTTAATTGTTTGCATTGGTCTGTGCATTTTAATTAGTGAAAAATACAAATATATATTGCATTTGCATTTAGGACTTAATTTTACACATTTTAGATTAATTAGTAATTATGGTTTTACAAAAATAGAAAAAATCACAAAAATGATTTATTTTGCATTGTTTAATTTTAAACTTTGAATTTTGGTAGTTTTTCCTTAAATTTGGTTTTTAATTAATGGTGTTAGTTATTAATTAGAGTTTAATATAATTTGGGTAGGTTAGTTTAGTTTTTTAAGAATTAATTTAGGTTTTTAGTTTAATTTGAAAAGAAAAGAAGGAATTAAACAAAGAAAATTTGGTCTTCTTTAATAAGGAACCCAATTTTGGGCCAAATCTAATTAAGACCACGAGCCCAGTCTCTTATTCTCCATACCCGTCCACATTCTAGGCCCAATATTACACCCCAGACCCGGTCCAGCCCCCACCTTTCAAAACGACGCCGTTTGGATCAAAGCAATCCTAGCCGTCTAGGTTTGCTTGATCCAATAGTTGGGAAGTATGGGTAGGGTTGATACAGGGGCGGATCTACAGTGATAGGTATGGGTTCCCGGGAACCTAGTAGCTTTTGTCTAGACCCTGTATTTATATTAAGAAATCTATTAAATGTATAAGAATTTTTATGTAGGAACCCAGTAACAAAGTGTCTTGCTGGTTCAATGGTAAGGTGCGGAATCTATACTGATTTTCCCAAAACTCACAATGCAAGTTCGAATCCCATCAGCTTACTTTAGTTTTTCCCATATGTTTTGGCACAAAGTTTTATGTATTTTCGTTACCAGCTTTTTTAACTTTGCTACGTTTATTTAATTAAAATAATAAAAGGAAAGACTTACTAAACTAAAAGGTGTACAAGTCAACATTAGCAAAAAAAAGATTCCCTTTTCCTTCCCAATTCGGCAATTCCCATTCTCAACTCAAACGTTCAAAGGAAAATTAGGTTTTACAATTTCACATTATTTCTTCTGTTCTTCACTGCCTCTGTTTTAACAGGCTGGCGGAATCCACTCAAAATTAAAATCTAGTTTTAACTTCTTCACTTATTCCACTCCATTGCAACAGGTATTTTGATTTCCTTCCTCCTCTTTCTTCTTTTTTTATTGTTTTCCTCTCATGAATAGAGAGGGTTTTGAGAAAATGAATAGCTAAAGTTCATTTCCAGTTAATAAATGGTGAACTTGCATTGATTGTGATTTGATAGTTCTTAGTTAGTTAGTTATCTTGATATCTAAGAGAAAAAATCGAAAAAAATACAGTGCAATGTTTAATTTGTTTCTTATGATTTATAGGATATTTTAGTAAGAGTCAAGATGATCAAGAGATTCTTCAATCCGCAAACCTCTTCAGGTTCTACTTCTAGTTCTCCTTCACTAAGCTCTCCTTCATGTCCAGTGGTAAATAATAATGTCAATTCTTCTCAATCATCACACCTACATAATATGTTGGATTTGAATCCTCTTGAACGCGATCCTGGTGAAAGAAAACAAATTTCAGAATATCCTCCTAATTTACGTGATCGAGTGAGAAGGCATTACATTGAAAAGGGACCTTGTCAACTTAGAGAGTTTGATTTTCCAAATACAAATTTTGGTGGAAAATTGCGTCATTTTAATCCTGAATGGTTTAAGACTTCATATTCTGAATGGTTAGAATATAGTATTAAAAAAGATGCAGCATTTTGCTTATGTTGTTACTTGTTCAAAAATGAGATTGGCGGATATGGGAAAAAAGTCGGTGATTCTTTTACAATAGATGATTTTAGGGCTTGGAATAAAGGTATAGAAAGGCTTAATGCGCATGTGGGTCAAGTGAGTAGTGTTCATAATCGATGTTTAAGATGATGTTAGATTTAAAGAATCAAGGACAATCTATTATAACTTCTTTTGACAAACAATCCGAGAAAGCTAAAAGTGAGTATCGAGTTCGCTTAAATGCCTCAATTGATGTTGCAAGGTATCTTTTGAAAGAAGGAATGCCTTTTCGAGGTCACGATGAGAGTGAAACTTCTACAAGAAGAGGCAACTTCTTAGATCTCTTAAAGTGGTATGCCGATAAGAAGGAAGATGTAAAAAATGTCGTGCTAGAAAATGCTCCAAAAAATGATATCATGATTTGTCCAAGTGTACAAAAAGACATTGTGAGATCTTGTGCAAAAGAAACATTAAAGGCAATTATTAAAGACTTGAATGGTGATTACTTTGGGATATTGGTTGATGAATCTAAGGATGTCTCTCATAAAGAACAAATGGTACTTGTTTTGCGTTATGTCAATAAAGAGGGTAAAGTTATTGAGAGATTTCTTAGCATTGTTCATGTTAAAGATACATCTGCAAAGTCATTGAAAGAAGCAATTTGTTATTTGCTTTTGGAACATTCATTGAGTAAATCTCAAATACGGGGACAGGGCTATGATGGAGCTAGTAACATGCAGGGAGAAATTAATGGCCTTAAGACTTTGATTATGAATGATACTCCTTCGGCATATTGCATACATTGTTTTGCTCATCAATTGCAATTGACTCTTGTGGCTGTTGCAAAGAAACATTATGAGGCAGAACAATTTTTTGATATTCTTGCAAATGTTTTAAATATTGTTGGAGGTTCTTTTAAGCGCAGGGAGATGCTTCGAGATGATCAAGCAGAAAAGCTGGAGGAATTACTAATGCTTGGTGAAGTTCATACAGGAAGCGGATTAAATCAAGAACTTGGACTTCAAAGGGCAGGTGATACTCGTTGGGGTTCTCATTTTAAGACAGTGCGTAATTTTATTAGTTTATTCTCATCAATTGTTCATGTGCTTGGAATTCTTGCAATTGAGGGTTCAAATTATTCATGAGAGATCAATGGCAAAAAGTCTAGTGGATGATATAAGATCATATGAGTTTGTGTATATGTTGCATTTAATGTTGAAAGTGTTGGCACTTACATATGATTTAAATATGGCTTTGCAAAAAAAAGATCAAGATATTGTAAGTGCCATGAAGCTTGTTGGTTTTGCAAAGAGACAATTGCAAGTTATGAGAGAATCAGGATGGAATTCTTTGGTAGAAGATGTCTGTTTATTTTGTGTCAAGCATGATATTGTAATCCCGAAATGGATATGAACTATCTCGTTGGAAAGTCGAAGCGTAAGAAATCAAGTGTTACATATTCTTATCATTTGCGTGTAGAGGTTTTCTATACTATTATTGATTTGGCAACTTTCGGTAGCTTAACAGTCGTTCTAGTGAAGTGAATACTGATCTACTTCTTGGTATGGCTTAGTTTGAGTCCTGATAATTCTTTTGCAAATTATGATAAAGAAGGATTATGAAACTTGGCAACACACTATCCAAATGAAGTTCACGAATTCTATGCTTGAGGATCTTGGTTTTTGAGCTTGACATCTATATTGACTATGTGCGAGAGGTCAGGCAATGAATTCTCTAACTTGAAAAGCATTGGAGATCTTTTCAGAGACAATGGTTAAAACAAATTTGCACATGATTGGAAGCGTTGTTTATTTGCTTGTGAAGTTAAGTTTGATATTGCCTGTTGCTTACTGCAACGTAGAAATGGCTTTTTCTTCGATGAAGTACATTAAAAGTGACTTGCGAAGCAGAATTGGTGATGAATTTTTGAATGATTGTTTAGTTTGTTATATAGAGGATGAAGTATTTGAAAGTATACCTAATGATGCGATCATTGGTCATTTTCAAAACATGACAAGTCGCCGAGTACAATTGTAATGAAAATATTTATATTTATATGTTGACTTTAAGTATTTTGTTATTTTGTAAATATATGTTGAATATTGATACTTGTTTCTTAGTTCGGCTATTATGATATATTGACTTGAAGTTGTGGTAGGAACCCATACACTTCAATTCCTAGATCCGCCTCTGGGTTGATATATAATTGTCCTAACCTCACCTACCCTCCCCCCAAGCCGTCTCTCTCACACGCCCCCTAACCCTTCAGAGACCCCCTGCTTCTCCGCCGCTTTCCGCCGTCCGCCGCCGGCCGAAAATTGCCTCCGCCGGCGGCGATTCTCCAATCCCTCTCAAATTTACACCATAAACTCCCCTCAATCTCCTCTTTCCAAACCCCCAAACCCCGTCTCTCAAATCCCAACCCATCTCCTCAAATAACCCAAACCCTAGGCACTGCCTCCGCCGCCCATGGCGGGCCACCTCCAAACAACCTCAAAACAATACCCTATGGCCTCTTTGACATCCTCATCCCAAATCTCAAACTAAAACCCTTCGAATCCAAGCAGAACTCCCCGAATTTTAGATCTAGGGTTCGAAGAATTTTGATTTTCTAGATTTTCAAGTATTGAGTGATTCTCAGTTAATGTTATGTGTTTATTTTTGGCAAAATAGACACATAACATTAGCTGAGAATCAATTTGAAATCAGTCAATTTAAGGCCCAAGTCAGTAAGTTCCTTAATCTCCCTTTCCTCCTCTACTTGTTCTTCTTTCTGTAATGAATTCTCCTTTTAATTAAAATTAGTTCCACTCCATGTTCAATCATTTTTTCGTTTTAGGTTTTGTTCGGTCAATTTTATCTTGATTCATATTTGTTTATTTTCTCTTTTGATTCTGGTTCATGATTCATAATTTTCTGTTTAATTAATAAATAGCATGAACTTGTATTTTATCAATCCTGGTTTTAATTTTGGTTTGATTAGCATTAGAGTTAATTCCAGTTGATTAGTTCTGATACTTGAAATAGCTTAATTAGACCACTAGTTCGATTTTAGGCTCTTCCTTTACCTGTGGTTAATTTTTGACCAGGGTAAGAGGGGGGTTGGTTTAACTTGGTAATTTTCAGAATTGAAAAGGGTAATCTAGGGAATTCAATTTAGGGAATCTCTAGTAACTGAAATTAGAAGTCACTAGAAGCACCTAGAAGGGGTTATAATTGGTATTTTTGGAATCTTAATAGTGTAACTTGGGCAGCAAGCCAAGATTCTAGGGAGTAAATAGTTTAAAATTGAAAATAAAAAGGACTAAAGTGCAAAATAAAACTTGCAAGGGCTGCCCTAGGTGTTGGCCTATAAAAGGCATCATTTCTTGCCTTAGAGGGGAAGTTTTTGGAGAGCTGAAAATCGAAAAGGCTGTATAATTTTACTGTTCCATAGAGATTTGAAGGCATAAAATCAAAAGCAACAAAGGTTTTCCAAAATCACTATTCCATTGAGTGTGTTCTTTGATTTCTGAAGTTTTGAGTTGCTGAAAGTCCATTGATGCTTCTCTGGGGATTGAAAACGGTTTGAATTCTGGTTTTTGAAAGCTTTTGGTTGAAGCTGTTTGAGTAATACAACTCTGTTGGGTTTTGAGCTGAGTTTTGGTCCTAATTGCTGAATCTGGGCTCATATTTTTGCTGTTGTTTGTTGGCTGTTTGTTCAGTCGCAGAATCCTCATCTCTTTATTTTCATTTTACTTCCAGGCCTTGGCTTTGATTCAATGTAGCCTTTCAAGTTGGAAATGAAATGGAAATACTCGCCTATTTGCTCCTTAGATTGTGTTTGTTAGACTGTTACATGTTAATAGTTAACCGATTTTAGACATAGTTTAATTTTTGATTTGTATGTATATAAACCTGGACTGTATAATCGGATTCTCAGTGTAGTAGCAATAGTTAGATTCTCAGTCTGTTTTGATTTTGGTCCTTAGCTGAAGTTTTTTATCTAGTGCTAGCCTAATATAGCTTGACTTCTCATGTGAGTTCAGTTTTGTGTTGAAAACCTGTTACCAGCCTGAAATTGGTGCTGAAATCATAAACACGCATGTGTTAGATAATAGAGTGTTAAGGTGTTATGAAAAGCATTAAGTACGTTTAAGTCAGGTGTAATTGTTATATCCATGCTCAGTTAAATTTAGAAGGAGTTATTAATTCAAAACTGGATTCATAATGGATTTTTGTTCATATTAGTGTTAAATCAGATCTGTTGTATATTCAAGTACAGAAATAGCTTAACAGTTCATTTACAGGTTTAAATCATACAAAACAGTCCAGGGAATATACTAATTTGTTTACATTGGGAGAAATTTAGGAGTTGTATGTCTATTTGATAATTAGGTTGGAGGTTATCTGATAAGAATCAGTATTTGAAAGTTAAGTCGGTCCTCCATTAAAAGAAATAGCTTTGAACTTAATTGATAGATGGGAGTTCATGTATTTGGTTGTGTTTGGACCTGGCAAACTCACGTTATAGGCCTGAGCCCCCTTTCGAAGCCCAAACGTGACAGTTTCAACTTGAATCAGACCTGGGCCTGAATCTGTTTAAGGCCCAGTGTCAAACAGTTTTCTCCTCTCATTTAGGCCTTATCGCGGGCCTATTACCAATTGTTTTACTAGCTGGTTGAAACTCTTTATTAGGGCTAATTGAAGCCCAAAAATGCTGAAGGTTGGAATTTATATTAAGACCACGGGTTTAAATTTATAACATGGGTTTTGGGCCTCCTAGTTAAGTAGCATGCTTGAGTTAAGAGGTTTGCCTCTTGTTCAAGTGTGGACTTGAACTTGAAGCCCAAACTCCTTAATCACTTTAAATAATAGTAGCTGATAAAATTGATTAATTAGGATTCTTTAGAGACAAAATTACGTAGAAAATTATAGCTTGCTCTAGGATGGCCCGTAAATAAAAATGAGACGAGCCTCGCCGCACAAAACATATAAATTGCGGGGCCCTCATCAAATGCTTTTATTAAAATACTTAGAATTCGGGACGTGCCGTTTAGCGAATTTTCACGGCCTCCCGCAAAGATAATAACACGTTAGTCGCTTTAGGCGCGCTTTTTAATAATCTTACTTTCCTAAATACGGGTGTGCATTTCATGCAACCCAAATCCAAATCCCAAAACATTGAATAAAAATGTGTCGAGGATACGGGTGCATTTCATGTGACGTGATCCAAAAACATATTTTCAAACGACGTTCACTTTCTTAAAAAATTCAATTAAAAATGGTTAAACGATTCTAAAATGCAATAGGATAACATGTATTAAAATCAGATTTTGCCAAATATAGCATTTGAGTGACCGTGCTAGAACCACGAAACTCGGGAGTGCCTAACCCCTTCTCCCGGGTTAACAGAATTCCTTACCCGGATTTCTGGTTCGCGATTGTTAATACAGAGTCAAACCTTTTCCTCGATTCGGGATTCAAACCAGTGACTTGGGACACCATAAATCTCCCAAGTGGCGACTCTGAATCTTTAAATAAACGAATCCCGTTTCGATTGTCCTTTAATTGGAAAAACTCTTTTATTATACCCTTCACGGGGTGTAGTAATGAAAAAGGAGGTGTGACAGTACCTGAAGTATTCACACACACAAATTAGTAACAAAGAAGGAAAGAAGAACAATACACAAAACTAACTAAATAGATAGCCAAGACCATTAGCTACCCGGCAACGGTGCCAAAAAGTGATCGCTGCCAACTCCGCACTACTAATAAGTAGCAAGAGAGGGTCGCAATAGCTTTTACCCGATTTTGGGTCGGGATCGAATCCACAGAGAGCTAGAAGTTGGAATTGAGTATCTATCTAGTTTAGGATTGCGTATGTGTTCTTAATTACACTTCTATTCATTTTTGGTATTTTCTTTATAATTCTACTTTTCACAAACTACAAAATTGTAAATTTAGCTAAGAGTTGTTCAAATAGGTTTAAAAAGCACTAGGGTAGTGACTACCGCCTAGGTGGTCAATTGACGGGTACTTGAAACTAAGGCACGTTTGACATGTTTGGGGAGTATGTTATAACCGTTGCATGACTTTACCCACTCTACACCTCTCGGTGGTTCGAGTGATTTTGCCCGAATTGGCTTTCTCAAGAACAATTGGG